AACTATTAAAAAGAAAATATTTATCACAGAAATAAAACTTACTGTGTTTATCTAGTTACTAGTATGTGTATTATATTATGACAATTGCATATTGTTATAAAGTTGTTTAGTTTTGCTTTATTCCCTCTTCTTTCACAATCTAGGATAGGGAGGGGGTAATTGTAGTTTTCTTCTACCTAATTTGCTTTCCAACTTGAAATTATGGCCGCCGTTTTCTGGAGAAAGACTGAATCTCTAGTGCATCTATTTTTTCTAAAAGTACATTGTCGCTCAGTTCATTAATTGAATCGCTTGTTGATTAGATAATGATGACTATCTCCTAAATATTAATTAGAACTCACGACGATAACACAATATGATTTCTAGATTGACCAATACAATGTGTACTTATAAAACGTCTTATAACAATGTTGTGGATGAAAAGTGTTACATATTGTGGGAGGCGATGTCACGTGACTATTTATACTGAAAGAGTAAAACACGTAGGAAGTCTTAGCTATTCGGTCGTTTTGGCGAATCCGATGCTACGGAGAAGGAAAACAACTACCTCGCCCTAAGCGTGAATCCGATGCTACGGAGAAGGAAAACAACCTCGCCCTAAGCGTGAATCCGATGCTGTAGCATTTCTTTGATTTATTTGCCACATTTGGCAATAATGAAGAATGTGATGTGCGAAAAATAATGAACATTTTTATTTTCGGTTCCGATGCCAATACGATACCAATCCGTTTCCGATGCCAACTTTACACTGCTGAAGCAGCCGATCTGACATGTACATGTGTAAACCCCCTAATCTGAATGATGGAGCAGATTTGACGAGATACACCGTGACTGACTAGGAACTTTTGGAAACCGTAGAATTGACAATGGACTTTGATCGCATTTTGAAGAATATTGGTGAATTCGGGAGACAGCAGAAGCAGCAATTTGTTGTTGTGTCCACAATATGTTCGTTCTGGGGGCCACCACATATGCTATGTCTGGCGTTCGCCGGTATCACTCCCGACTTCCATTGTCGAGGTCAAGGCAACATTGCCGACGATGACGTGTGTGCAAGAGACTGTCAACGTTATTTTTATAACAAAGAAATCACATCCATAGCAACAGAAGTGAGTATAATTTGACACGTGAGCATCGTTCCTCGAGGTCATGACTGCCACGGTGGCGTGGACGACTGACCTCAGATCGGAAATCCCGGAAGTGAAATACAAATGTATTACTATCCCTGGGTTGGGGTTACCGGTACATGGTGGGTTGTGTTGGGGTTATATGGTGGGTTGGATTGGGTTGGGTTGGGGTTAGGGTAGTATTTGTGCAAATGCAATACTGGTGATGGTGGTTGCCGTAGTGTTGGTGCTCTGAGTTCCCTTGGGTGACTTTCTTCCACATGTTAATTTCTGTTCACATTTGGACTTGACATCACCTCAACACAAGATTCCGATGAAAACGATCAATTTTACACTCACAGACCTGTGTACACAGACCTACCATATATTATGTCTGCACTACTATGCTGCTTTCCATTAAAAATAATGCAACTTTATAGGGGAAGTCTAGGATAACAATATATAAAAGTGATCAACATAAAAGTGATCAACATTTTTTAAATTCATTTTTTATTTTTTTGACGCATCGAGCCACTGGTGGCACTGTATACAATCAAGAGGAATGCTGTTTTACAGTTTTCTATTGACCACAATAGTCAGAGTGGCTCAAGACCAAATATACATGATTCCATCGTTTCATACTAAATGCTTTCTATTAATAATTTCACTTTCAAATAATATTCATGAGATATGTCTAGGTCATAACCTTGTTAAAGGTTATTAGCATATTGTGTACTAACTCTGTTTCTCGTTTCCGCATGCAACTATGCGCCTCAGACGTTTTTCCTTCTAAAGCATTCCAAAATGCGCTTGTACTCACACTTGTCGCAAATTTCTTCCATTTTAGTTGAGTATTCAAAAAAATTTTTTTTTTTTAAATTTTCATGAAAGGAGAAATTGCCTTTTTTGAAATTTCCATGAAACGAGAAACAGAGAATTTTGTTTTTCCTGGCCTTAGGGCTGTTTTTCCGTATTCCACAAGACATGCGTCATCACAGTGAGGTCAATTGAAATTTACTTTACATGCATCATCACGTTCAGCATCGTCAATGAGGTTTCACCACATTGATGGTGCTGAAGTTTGTGGTTATATTTGAGGCCCACACATAAGCGATGCTACCAATACATACACCAGCTAACAAGCCACACCAACCCAGTGACAGCTGAGGATTTGTACACACTCCCACCATATCATACGCTGTAATATGCAATTACAATTCTGGTTTCTCAAAACCATACAGTGTATCTAGTCCACCATCTTGATTCTCCAGCAAAGGGTTATGGGTAAAATATGACTTGGCCATTGCTGTAGAAAATTGAGAAATGAATTTATCTGTAAATTCTAAAGTAGGATGTCAAATTTGTTGCAGGTTTAGAACATGGTACAGTGAAAGGCGTAAAGCAGTGGATGCTATAAATGTTTTATAATTATAAATTTTTATAAATCAAAATGACTGGTAAAATTCAAATTGACCAATCCAGAAATGATATGAAATCTAATTAATATTAATTAGTTAGTTCAACATCATTCAATCAGCAATCATTTCAATTACACCTTGAACTTATTGAGCATAATTTAAGTTGTAGCAAAAAAATAAAAATATTTCATAAATTATTTTTCAAAACACAAACTGTTTTGTATAAAATGTTGTCATCTACAATGAACTTTCTGGCAATAACTTTGCAACATTTTAATTCCCATTATACCACTATTAATATTATATTATTGTGTAATTATCATGCACAAGCAAATATACACACTAACAATTTGAACTAATTCTCATCATTATGTCCCAGATTATGAATGAAATCATGTGGTAGTAGTGATGTCATATTTTACCCATAGTTACTTAGTAAAATATCAAAACGATGGACTACTGTAAAAAGTTGAATATGTATAGAACGTACAGTGATTATAGAAAAACTAAATTGTATCCTCTACGTTTTCAGAGCTCTTTCCCCTGGAGTTGTCAGCTTTCTACATCACTTGTTATTTTAACTTGAAATCATATATCTCTTTCAGTGGGACTTGGTTTGTAGTGAAAGTTATAAAGTTGGTTTGGCGCAATCCATGTACATGTTAGGTGTACTGTGTGGTAGTTATGTATTTAGTTTTATATCAGATACGTATGGAAGAAGGAAAGCATTCTACCTCAGTACTTGTTTTCTGACGTTGTTTGCTTTATCAAGTGCATTGGCTACATCATATCAAATGTTTGTTGCATTAAGGTAAGATTTAAATAAAGTAATAATTTGTACAGATTCTTACATGTACCCAGATGAACACAATCATGATTGACCATAAACTACCATGATTGACCATAAACTACCATGATTGACCATAAACTACCATGATTGACCATAAACTACCATGATTGACCATAAACTACCATGGTTTACCATAAACTACCATGATTGACCATAAACTACCATGATTGACCATAAACTACCATGATTGACCATAAACTACCATGATTGACCATAAACTACCATGATTGACCATAAACTACCATGATTGACCATAAACTACCATGATTGACCATAAACTACCATGATTGACCATAAACTACCATGTTTACCATAAACTACCATGATTGACCATAAACTACCATGATTGACCATAAACTACCATGATTGACCATAAACTACCATGATTGACCATAAACTACCATGATTGACCATAAACTACCATGATTGACCATAAACTACCATGATTGACCATAAACTACCATGGTTTACCATAAACTACCATGATTGACAATCAACTACCATGGTTTACCATGTTTGACCATCAACTACCATGGTTTACCATGTTTGACCATCAACTACCATGGTTTACCATGTTTGACCATCAACTACCATGATTGACCATCAACTACCATGGTTTACCATAAACTACCATGATTGACAATCAACTACCATGGTT